AGAAAAGGCATTTGATAAAATCCAATACTCCTTCATGATAAATACTCTCAGAAAACGGAATAGAGAGGAACGTCCTCAACTTGATAAACACTATCTACAAAAAATCTACAGCTAACATCACACTTAATGGAGAGAAAGTTGAAGTTTTCCTGCTAATATCAGGAACAAGGCAATGACATCCCCTCTTACCACTGCTTTTCAACATTGTACTGGAAGTCCTAGCTAGTGCAGTAAGCCAAGAAAAGGAAATAAAAAGTATACAGACTGGGAAGGAAGAAATAGAACCATTTTTGCTCACAGGTGATATGACCACCTGTGTAGAAAATGTGAAAGAATTTACCCAAAAAATTCCCTAGAACTAATAAGCAACTACAGCAAGGTTGCAGGATACAAGTTTGATATATAAAAGTCAATCACCTTCCTACACACCAGCAATAAACGAGTTTTGAAATTAAGAATGAATTACTATTTACATTAGCCCCTTCCCTCCCCAAAATGAAGTACTTAGGTATAAATCTAACAAAATATGTGCAAGATCTATATGAAGAACCTACAAAACTCTGATGAAAGATATCAAAGAACAAAATAATGGAGAAATATTCTATGTTCATGAATAGGAAGACTCAGTATTGTCAAGATGTCAATGCATCTATAGATTCAACGCAATCCCAATCAAAATAACAGCAACTTATTTTGTAGCAACAACTTGACAAATTGATTCTAAAGTTTATATGGAGGGGCAAAAGATCCAGAACAGCCACATCAATATTGGGGAAGTAGAACACAATTTGAAGGCTCACACTAACCAACTTCAGTACTTACTATAAAGCTAAAGTAATCAAGAAGGTATAGAACTGGTGAGAGAATGGACAAACAGATCAATGGAACAGAAAAGAGAGCCTAGAAATAGACCCACATAAATACAGTCAAAGGAGCAAAGGCAAAACAATACAGCAGAAATTGTGTATTCAACAAATGGTGCTAAAAAACCAGACATCCACATGTAAAAAAAATACTCTAGACACAAATCTTATAATATTCACAAAAATTAACTCAAAAGGGATCACAGATTTAAATGTAAAACACAGAAGTCTAAAACTCCTAGCAGAAAACCTAGATGACCCTGGGTACGGCAGTGATTTTTAGATACAACACGAAAGACACGGACCATCGAAAACAAAAGTACTAAACTGGACTTAGTTAAAATTAGGAACTGTGGCCCTGTGAAAGACTGGAATGACATTCCCACAGGTTGGGAAAAAATAATTAAAAAAGATAGAAGAGATAAAGGACTGTTATCCAAACTAATCAAGGAACACTTAAAACCCAGTAAGAAAATGAACAACCAGATTTAAAAATTGACAAAAGATCTGAACACACACCTCACCAAAGAAGATATACAGATGGCAAGTAAGCATATGAAGATGTTCAATATCTTATGTCACCAGGGAATTGAAAACTAAGACAACAATGAAATACCCCTATAGACCTATTACAATGGCCACAATGCAAAACACTGACAGCACCAAATGCTGGTGAGGGTATGGAGCAACGGTAACTCTCACGCACTGCTGCAGGAAATGCAAGGTGGGGCAGCCACTTTGGAACAGCTTGGCAGTTTCGTACAAAGCTTAACATACTGTTTTTTTTTTTTTTAAGATTTTGTTTATTTATTTTAGAGAAAGAGAGAGAGAGTGCACACGTGCAAGTGGGAGGGAGAGGGGGAGAGCCTCAAGCAGACCCTGCACTGATCACAGAGCCCAACTTGGGGCTCCATCCCACAACCCTGGGATCATGACCTGAGCTGAAACCAAGAGTCAGACACTCAACCAACTGAACCACCCAGGAGCCCCAAAACTTAACACACGATCCAGCAATCATGCTCCTTGGTTGGTATTTACCCAAAGGAGTTGAAAACCTATGTCCACATAAAAACTTGCATACGGATGTTTATAGCAGCTTTATTCATAATTGCCAAAACTTGGGAGCAACCCAGTTTTACTTCAGTAAGTAAATGGACGAACTGTGGTACATCCAGACAATGGAGTATTATTTTATTATTCAGCACTAACTAGTGAACTAGCAAGCCATGAAGAGACATGGAGGAACCTTAAATATGTATCACTGAGTGAAAAAAGCCAATCTGAAAAAGGTACCTACTGTAAAATTCCAATTATATAACATTCTGGAAAAAAACTATAGAGATGGTAAGAAGAAAGTGGTTGCCACGGGCTGGGAGGAGAGATGGATGAATAGGCAGAGCACAGAGAGTTTTTAAGGCAGTGAAACTAATTTTGTACAACATGACAATAGCAGATACATGTCGTTATACATTTGCCAAAACCCATAGAATGTGCCACACTAAGAGAAAAGTCTAACATCAGCTGTGGACTCTGGGTAACGATGATGTGTCAGTGTAGGTTACATTGGACTGTAACCAATGTATCAGTCTGGTCTGGGATGTTGATGACGAGGGAGGCTATGCATATTTGGGCATATGGTAATTCTCTGTACTTTCTGCTCAATTTTGCTGTGAACATAAAACTTCCCTAAAAAAATGTTTATTGAGGGGATGCCTGGGTGGCTCAGTTGGTTAAGCATCTGCCTTCGGCTCAGGTCATGTTCCAGGGTCCTGGGATCAAGCCCTACATCGGGCTCCTTGCTCAGCGGGGAGTCTGCTTCTCCCTCTCCCACTCCCCCTGCTTCTGTGCTCTCTCTCTGACAGGTAAATAAATAAAATCTTTAAAAAAAATTTGTTGAGGTTTGAAAATGTCAACACTTACAATATTAAAGAAATTACGTCTTTTACAACTATTTAAACTTCGAATAGAAGGGGCACCTGGGTGGCTCAGTCGGTTAAGCATCTGCCTTAGGCTTGGGTCATGATCCCAGGGTCTTGGGATCGAGCCCCACATCAGGCTCCCTGCTCAGGGGGGAGCCTGCTTCTCCCTCCCCTCCCTGCTTGTGCTCTCTCTCACTAACTCTGTCTCTCTCTCTCTCTCTCCCAAATAAATAAATAAAATCTTAAAAAATAAAAATAAACTTAGGATAGAAAATTTTAGATGTCAACTTAAAAAAACTGCAAAAAGGTCTTTAGTTTTTCAAAATTCTTTTAGGGATTGTGGGGAACAAAGTTTGAAGACTCCTAGTCTAAGACAATGTTTATCAGCAGGGGCCTCATCATCCCCTAGGAAGCATTTCAGGAAATTGGTGGGGCATCTTTAGTTGCATGATTGGAGGCAGCTACTGGCATTTAGTGGGAAAGGTGCCAACGATGCTAAACATCTTGCAAGGTGTGGGGCAGCTTCGTGGGAGATTTTTGGCACAACACGCAGGATTTCTGTATGACCCTGCACTACTGTTTTAAATCATTCGAGTCTAGAAACTAACTTTGTTTTTCTTCTCATCACAAAGCATTTCTAGAATAGCTGGGGTAGATGCTGCATGTTAGAGGAAGGCAACTGCTATACAGCTCAAAGGAAGACTGTACTTGTCCACAATTTTATCCAACCATGTTTGCTACAGCGACGCCCCTCACAGTAAGTGAGCTCTGATACCATGCCCCTGGTATCACCCTAACGTGATCACCCACAGCTATGGCGGGTGTTCCCACTAAGTGTGACCCACATCAAACCACCTCCCAACTTGGGTCACCAAAACACTGCAGAGGTCTCCCCAGGGCCTCAGCAGCTCAGGTCCACACTCCAGGTAGTAGTGCTCCTTCTAGAAATGGTTTTCCACTCGAGATAAACGGAAATGAACAACAGATGGGTTCTCTGCCTGCCTTGGGTGCCCTCTGCATGACTTGTCCAGTACTCATTGCCTTTTAGCATCTCTTCCTTCTGGAAAGAACTCCATTCAATAACCACGTGGTCATCATCCTCAGTAAAATCTGTAGAAAGGTGCCTCTCAAATATCCAAAACATAGTCTTAAACTTGCAGAAGGTAACAAAATACTTTAAAAACAGAGTCATGGGGGCACCCGGGTGGCTCAGTCGTTAAACGTCTGCCTTCAGCTCAGGACATGGTCCCGGGGTCCTGGGATCGAGCCCTGCATCGGGCTCCCTGCTCGGCGGGAAGTCTGCGTCTCCCTCTCCCACTTCCCCTGCTTGTGTTCCCGCTCTCACTGTGTCTCTCTCTGTCAAATAAATAAAATCTTAAAAAAACAAAAAACAAAAAACAGAGACATGGTCTCTTAACAGCACCTTTTTCCTCACAGTAGGGGTTTCAGGGTTGACAGTGCCTAGTTCAGCTAATGGCACAAAAACTGATCACCATGAAAGGCTATGGTGCTTCCAGAAGCTACAGAGGTGAGATACAGGTGTCCCCAGGCAGGCACTATCCCCTTTACCCAAACTGAAATGGGTAGTAGGCCTTCTGGAGGAGGAAAATTTCCATCCACATCCAACCACCCTTCTCCCACAAGCTTATGAAGCCATTTTCTTCACTGTGAACCAAAATTACCCAGGTATCTAAATCTCCATTTCTTTAACACACAATACATAAGCTCCATTAACTAGGTTATCATCAGCCACTACACTTAGCACAGCAGCATCCGAAGTGCTGTGGGCCACACAAAGCAAACAGACAATGACCTTGTTTACCCTTAATCATCCTTAAGCCCCTCAGCTCTCTAGGATTTGAAATCAAAATAACATTGCTTTTCTCCTAACCTTCCAGAAAATTTTAGAAACGTAAATTTGATCATGCCTCAATCACAAGAAGAAAGGCATTAATGGGAAACATGAAGCGGTTGCACTTGGTGGTATTATTAGTCTGTCTCTCTCTGGGAGTCAGTGGTGTCTAATCCCATGATGTAATTTCCCCTATGGCTTTTTAAACGTCACGTTAAATTTCAGACAGCCAACAAGTGAGCCAGTATCAGCTGAAGTGGGAGTAATAACCATGTGAGATTTTAATAATGGAACTCTGAAAGGGATCCTTTTCAGGAGGCACATTATAAAGGGATTTTCTAGACAAAGAGAAAATGCAATTCTTACCTCCAACCAACAAGTAGCTGTTGGGAAACAGTGTTTTTGCTTGCATAAGTGCCCTTGCATGACCGGAATGGAAGAGGTCAAATATTCCATCCGCATAGACTCTGACAGGCCTGTCAACTGTGGAAGAAACAAAGTGTCATCAACACAACCGCAGAATAAGGCAGCCCTGTGACCTGATGCTTCTGTCCTCAGGACACCAGTGTGAGGAGGTTTACCTGGATAAAACACCATGTCTGGGTACCATCAGTCTCTTATTAGGGCACACAGTGACTTCTACAAAGAGGCTCTTCGGAGGCTAGCAAAGTGGAATAAAAACAGAACTAAGAGCGACCCAGAACACACATTTTAAGCCAACAGGAGAGACAAACACAAAGCGGCCCGGAGTTCTCTGAACCCAGAGTCGAGTCTGGGGTGTCTGAGCTGGCCGATTCAGACAGCCTAGGCATCAACAAAGGGTTGGCAGAGTCAGCCCAGCGGGGCTATCGAGGCAGGAGTAACCGAGTCGCTTAATGAAGAGGAAAAACGACTTCATTCTTGACTCGGGCAGTCCTGAATGAAGGCCCCCGAGATCTGCTCCCCAAGGCAGCATCGTGCGGGAGTCTGCTCGTGCAGCTCCGGGAGACAGGCGCGCGCCTTTCCTCCCAGCTCCAGGCCGCACCGGAAGCCCCGAAGCAGCTGTGGCGGTACGTGCACCACAGGAACGGGCGAATGCTGCCAACCTGGGCTTACTTCTCTCCGGGGCGCCACTGCACCAAGCTCACTCCCTAACCTCTTTGGCGTCATAAGAGATGGGGGGGGGCACGTGCCCCAAAGACAGAAGAGTCAGGTGACATGTGGGGGTGGCCCTCAGTGTTGCAGGCCAGCGACCAACACTACAGTCCCTCTGAGGGACAAAGGTCAAGAGAGAAGAGGCCTCACGAGACATTCTCACGGGGCCATATGGTGCTCTGGGAAGTGCCATTCCATGACAGAGGGATACGTTCAGCACAGCCCCCTGGGAGCCAGGCGACGGCACTAGGAACTACAGGATGACACTTTGCTGAGACAGCCCAAAGACCCACCTCCTCCAACAACACGGAGACCTTGGGGGTAGAGGGGTTGGGTGCCAACTTTTACACCATTCTGGACTATCGACAAGGGAACTAGAAAGTGAAAATATGGCAAACTGAACATATATGCATTTATTTCCACTTTCTCCCAAATAACACAAGAATTACAGGTAAAGAATTAAAAAGGTATATGCCCCCCCCCAAATAAATTAAAAGGTATAATCCCCCAGGGCAGAGGAAACAAGAAAGGCAATGACAGCGGATGAGAGATGTGCACAACATTTTGGAAAGTTAAGATCATCAAACGGTGAGTGTCTGTAGGAAACAAGAATTGGGGTTAGGGCAGGTAGGGAAAGGGATTGTTGAGTCACTGGGTGTTTTTTGTTTTTTTTTTTTAATAAGCCTAAGAGTCCTACTGACTTTTTCCAGTACATGCATGTATTATAATGATGTTATAAAAATAAATTTAAAAAAGAATGCAAACTTTTGGTGAATGATTTTTAAGACAGATTTAAAATTGTGATTACTTCTTGATGTAGTACAACCTCATTAATTTGGAATATAAATTAAAAGGAATGTTACATTAATAGATTCAGATGGTACAATGTTTCTAATAAATTAAATTTCTCTAATAAAAAAGAACTCGAGAGACTTTATGTCAGATCGGGAATTGCAATTATTCCCAATTATACACCATTCTGAACAAACAGAATTGCCTTCACAGGATTATACTGGATTCTAAATAAGGCATGGTAAATAGAAAATGCTTTGAAATAACAAACTGTCTAATGAGGGATCCTTGGTTTCAATGTTCTTATTCAATTTGAATTCAATTGAGGAAAATTTGTTTTAAGATATAAATCCCAGGGGAAAGCAGATGGCAGTTTTGCAAAACTTTTTGTTATTGATTCAGAGGTGATCAAGATAAATGAATTCAGGAAGCAGGGAGGAAAGAAAAGTAAAGAAAGATGACATAATTACCGAGAAAAAGACCATTTAGTAAATCTTTGAAGAGTATTTGTGGAGTTGATTTTGCAATAAGCTCACTTTTTAAAATTGTAGCGTGTCAGCAATTTCCAGACTGGGAAACAGGACCAAAAAAAACAACACCCCAAACCAAAAACCAATCTTAACAAATGAGTGCTTCAAGAAAAAAAAAAAAAAGACAAAGAAAGATGGAATGGAAGTGGGTCTGCAGATGAGAGATTGAAAAGATTTATAAAGGGGTGCCTGGGTGGTTCAGTCGTTAAGCGGCTCAGGTCTTGATCCCAGGGTCCTGGGGATCAAGCCCCGCATCGGGCTCACTGCTCGGCGGGAAGCCTGCTTTGCCCTCTCCCACTCCCCCTGCTTGTGTTCCCTCTCTCGCTGTGTCTCTCTGTCAAATAAATAAATAAAATCTTTAAAAATAAATAAAAGACTTATCAACATATTGAATGTATAGATATTATTTGGATTTGGGTTCAAATTAACTATCAGTAAATGAGGACATAAGATAATCAGAAATTGGAACACTGGATATTTGGTGATATTAAAGAATTACTGTTAATTTTTAGGTGAAAAAATGGTATAATGGTTATGTTTTTAAAAACTGGTTTTTAAAGACCTTTATACAGAAATATTTATGGATGGAATGATAGGAAGCCCAGGGCTTTGTTTCAAATAATTCAAGAAGGGGCAGTGGATGGGGGCATGCATGGGGTAAGACTGGCATGGGGTGGTGGTTGTTAGCTATAGATGACAGACACATGAAGGTTCATTATATTGTTCTACTTTTGTGTATGTATGAAATTCTCTACAATAAAGTTTTTAAGAGTGTGGCTTTTTTTTTACTTTGTATGTTTATTTCTTTTATTCTTTTGTTTCAGATTTTTCTGGACATCTTTTTAAGCATTTGGGCATTCTCCAGAGCATCTATGTTGGGAACCACTGGCTGGTGAAGCTGGAGGTCTGGCAATGATCCCGAGTGGGAACCCAACTACACCATGGCCATGGTGGAGAGACCTTAAGGGGCCTCCCAGGGATCCCTGCCACCTGGTGTCTATGCCTTGGTGCCAACTCCTCCCTTTGAAATGTGAGTGGGGTGGGCGCCTGTGTGGCTCAGTTGGTTAAGCAACTGCCTTCGGCTCGGGTCATGACCCCAGGGTCCTGGGATGGAGCCCCGCATCTCGCTCCCTGCTCAGCAGGGGAGCCTGCTTCTCCCTCTCCCTCCACCTGCCACTCCCCCTGCTTGTGCTCGCTCTCATTGTCAAATAAATAAATAAAATCTTTAAAAAAAAATGAAATGTGAGTGGGACCTGTGACTTATTTCTAACCAGTTGAGTATGGCAAAGAGGTTGGATGGCACTCCCACGATTACATGACACTATGTAAGATTCACTCTTTCTCTCCCGGTGGCTTTGAAGAAGGAAGCTATCGTGTTGTGATAGGGCCACATGGCAAGGAACTGCAGGTGTCTCCTAGGGGCTGAGGGTGGCCTCTGGCTGACAACCAGCAAAAAGCTAGATCTTTAGTCTTAGAGCTGCAAGGAAACAACCTGAGTGAGCTTGGAAACAGGTCTATCACCATCAAGCCTCCAGGTGAGAGATTGAGTCCTGGGTGACACCTTAAACACAACCTTGCGGGACCCTGAGCAGAGGACTCCGTTTAGCCAGGCTCCCGGCCCACAGAAATTATGACGTAATAAATCTGCATTGTTTTAAGCCACTAATTCTGTGACAGTGTGTTATGCAGCATAGAAAATGAATACAATGGCATTATAAATTTTCTGCCCACAGACAATTATAAATTCTTAGAAGTATTTCAAATAAATTGCTGTTTATCCTGAATGGACAGAGTGAGGTCTAGCAGATAAATGTGATGTTCTGGTAAAATGCCTATCTGTATAGCACATGTCGATTGCTATGTTCCAAATAATTTCCATATAATGAACTACACATAACACCAAAACGATGCTGAATATTTGCTTAAGAATCATGGATACAGGGGCGCCTGGGTGGCTCAGTCATTAAGCGTCTGCCTTTGGCTCAGGTCATGATCCCGGGGTCCTAGGACCGAGCCCCACATCGGGCTCCCTGCTCAGTGGGGAGTCTGCTTCTCCCTCTCCCACTCCCCCTGCTTGTGTTCCCTCTCTCACTGTGTCTCTCTGTCAAAAAAATAAATAAAATCTTAAAAAAAAAAAAGAATCATGGATACAAATAATGACCATGGTATAGTATTGTGGGGAAATCTGACTTTTTTTTTTAACTTCCTGGATCTTACACTGCAAATTTTTCTAAGTTATTCAGCACTTATAAACAAATGAAATGGTGAGGGGGCTGTGCTTGCCTCACACCATATATGAAAATTAACTCAAAATGGATCATAGATCTAAATGTATGGACTAAAGTTGTAAAACTTGTAGAAGAAATGAGGAGAGAATCTTAGTGACTATGGGTTTGGCAAAAACTTCTTCAATAGGGGGCACCTGGGTGGCTCAGTCTGTTAAGCCTCTGACTTCAGCTCAGGTCATAACCTCAGGGTCCTGGGATCGAGCCCCTTGTCATGTCAGGCTCCCTGCTCAGCGGGGAGTCTGCTTCTCCCTCTCCCTCTGCTCTTCCCCCCCACTCATGCTCACTCTCTAGCTCTCTCTCAAATAAATAAAATCTTTAAAAAAATTTCTTGAATAGGCCCCAAAAGGATACATTATAAAGCCAAAAAATAACAATAAATTGAACCTTACTTCAAACTCATATCTTCAAAAGACATTTTTACAAAAATACAAAGGCAAGTCAGACAGGGAGAAAATATTTGCAAAATATATATCTGAACTAAGCCTTGTATCTAGAATACAAAAGAACTGTCAAAACTCAATAAGAAATACCTCATTTTAAAAAGGGCAAGAAATTTGAACAGACACTTCACCAAAGAAAATAAATATATGAATGGCAAATAAGATCATGAAAAGATCTTTAATATCATTAGTTATCAGGGAAATAGAAATTAAAGCTAGAATGATAGACTACTCCATACCCCTAGAATAGCTAAGAGTTTAAAAATATATTGACCCTACCAATTCTTGGCGAGGGTAGA